GGAGATGATGATGACAACCATAAGCCATCGCCTCCAACTTATCCTATGCCTCCAGCTCCTGTTCCTCCTGTTTCACCACCGCCTCCGACTCCTACTCCAGCCGTGCCAAGTCCAACTCCACCATCTTCACCATCACCTCCAACCCTTGTACCGACCGTGCCAGGCCCCACTCCACCATCTTCACCATCGCCTCCAACCCTTACTCCGACCGTTCCAAGTCCTCCTGGTACTCCACTCCCTCCATATTCGCCACCTACAACCCCAACACCCTCTGTTCCAAGTCCCACTTCTACACCTCCTTCACCCCTGCGACTCCAACTCCTCCTCGCTCTACTCCGACGACTCCTTCTCCCTCAGTCCCTGTTCCAACTCCTCCAAACTCTCCTCCTTACGTTCCTCCATCAGATAGCGAGGAGGCAGCGGGAGCCAGAAGGGTAAGGTGTAAAAATCAGGACTCTCAATGTTACGGAGTTGAGTATACTTGTCCGGCCGCTTGTCCCCGTTCATGTCAAGTCGATTGTGTCACTTGCAAACCTCTTTGCAGTATGTCCTCTACATCCATCAATCTTCTCCTCATAATTCCTTATTATTCACTTGTTTAATATATGTTAAATCATGATACGTTATGATGCAGATTGCAGTCAACGCAGACACTAACAACCTCGAGGTACGACCTAAGAGACTATTACTTAAGCCACAAGAAACAAAATCAAAATACAGAAAAATATCTCACTAGGATTACAATTTTTTTTTTTTTAAATCAAATTATCTATAAAATTTCTCTATTTGGTCATATATTCAAGAACATTTGTGTGAATAATTGCTAATATTGGTTAGTTGTTTTTTCAGCTAAAACTAGTAAATGTTTTTAGGTATTTTCTAATCAAACTTCAATCCCTGATTGTAATCATTTAATATACATTTGATTCAGGTTGAAGTAGAGGGTTTGCTTAATAGTGATGCCAATAACAATGGAAGATTCAAGAATCCATGGCTACGACGTCAAGGAAGACGATTGTCTTGCTCATCTCGACCTAGGCTTCAAGTTCCAAGACCTTAGCGACAACATTGATGGTATCTGGGACAGACTTATAGGCCTAACTACGTTAGCCGAGTCAAGATCGGAGTTCGCATGCCTGTGATGGGTGGTGACAAAGAATTTCAGACCACCGGACTTTTTGCACCTGATTGCTCAGCCGCAATATTCACCGGTAACGGAGGCAGCAACGGTGGAGAGAGCCAAATGGAGCTCCCTGAGATGAATTGTGCCAGTGGCGTAGGTGGCAAGGGAGTGGTCTGCAAGAGATAGACGTTGCATGCTTTGCACTTCAATTGATTGCTATTACCACTAATTAATATGATAAACTACAACATTATAACTTAATAAATGTGTAACGCGGTTATTGTTTTTTCTATAACAATAAAATCATCGAGAAAGGAAACATATAATGATATAAATGTAATTTATTATTCTTGAATTTATTAATTGAAATGTGAATTTATATTAATTTCTTCTTCTTTCCCTCCGTTACATGTAATGATATAAATGTGATTTTTTTTTTTGACAAATAGTAAATATCATTAATTAAGGAATGAATGTGAGGTTTTACAAGAGTAGCTTAACCTATAGAATGAAGCTTTGTCCAAAAAAAAAGGATAAAAAAACAAGGGTATAAGGAAAGGGAGCCTTTTTTTACTATTTGTTTTACGTCATTCACTTTGCACTAGAAACAGCTAATCTTTAAGAAAAGCAGGAAGTAAAGACACTTAATCCTTATTCCTTATCAATGTAATGCTTCTTCTTTCTTGTTTACTTGATTCTTTTGCCAAAAGTTATCACATTTATTGCGTTCACGTTGTCTGAAAACGTAGTGTACTCTGTTTTGTTTTAAATAACTTCAAAATATGTAAGAATGTAAAATATCATGACAACAAAAAATAAGGTTGGAAAATGTAACGTATCAAAATAAAATTAGATACTTGTGATTGCATCAAAGCTGGTATCTTCTTATCCATGTCAGCGTATCTGAAGCTGTGCGTTATATGAACTTGAAATATCAAATTTCCAGTTCTATAAAATATTGAAATGAACCTTGACCAAAAGAATATATATACTCCTTATTTCTTTCGTTTTTGATAAAATTAAGGGGAAAAAAAAGTGTAAGACACTCCTTATTTTTATGAACTACGTACCATTATACAATATGTTAACTATTTCACTTGAAAAATGTGTAAGACGGTTAACAAAGTTTCTGTAACAAGAAAATCACCGAGAAAGGAAACATGTAATATAAATGCTGTTTTATGTTTCTTGAATTTATTGAATTGTGGATTTATGTTAATTTTTTTACCAAACAAAACAAAAAAAAAGATTTATGTTCATCTCTTCCTCTTTTGCTTGAAATAACTTTAAAATCTGAGAAAATTTTAAAATATCGTGACAACGAAAGAAAAAACTTGTAAAATGTTAGTATGTAACGCATCAAGACAAAATTAGATACAAATCAGTGCATCAAAACAGATAAAGTACACAGTAATTTTAGAAATAGAAGTGAACTTTATGCCTTTATAGGACATTCAGCTATTTCAGGCAACTCTTTAAAGTCATCCTTCCTAGAGATTAACCAAATACGTCGATTATCATATAGTATTTAATTCACAGCCAAAGCTTGTAAAATTATTAATGTGACATGAATTGTTTTATGATTCCAAATAGAGTCAAAATACAAAGACAATTAACCAACGTATAAAAAGAACAAAGCCAAATATCCCTTAGGATTCAACAACACAATACGAAACGAAACCACAACACAATGAATGGATTCCATCTTCTGATTCTGATTTAACATCCCCTGGTTTTTTTTTTCTATGTACACATCTTCCTCTCTTTTTTTTATCATCATTTTTTAATCGCTTTCGAAGTCGTCTTCATCTCCAAACGAAAACACAGACGCATCAGCCGCCATAACCTTGAACTCACTACTCTCTGAGCTTGACGCGTTGACTCCAGTCCCTGTTGGTTTCTCTGTCCCTTCAGCCTTGCTAACCTCTGTTCCTTGCACTGGCTCAGATGATCCCTTGTTTCCAGAAATAGAAACTTTCTCGGTCGCACGAGTCAGACCAGAGGTTTCATCCGCGCTCTTTTTGGCTTCTGGGGTTTGAGAAGAAGTAGATGATGTGGTTTTGGTCGGGCCAGTTGAATCTGATTCGTTATCAGAGAACACATCGTCTTTATCAGGGTTCTCCGTTTCTTTTTTGGGTCCTGGAACCGGTGTGACACCCTCTACAGGGGAAGAATTAGTTGCTGAAATTTCTTCAGGTGTCTTGGATGCTGTTTCAGAACTAGGGTTTGCAGGGATTGTTGAGTTGATATCAGCAAGAACAACTTCGACCATAAATCCAGGTGAAGGTAGCTTCCTCTGTATTGGAACAATGGCCAAACACAAAGATATATCAGTTTAAACCGGAGGATTAATGGAGGAAGAGCCAAACCTCGACTTGAAACACAAAGTCAAGCATTCAGTTATTACCTTGTCAAACCCATCAAGCTCACTGGTTTTTAGGATCACTCTGTTTTCCATCATTGTCGTGTTTAACCAACTGAAAAGAAGAATACAGAAAAGCTAATTCGTGAGAAAAGCAGAAAAGGAAAGCTATATTGGTAAAGGATTTGGATAGCAAGGAACTAGCTTCCCAACCAGTAAAAATCTCCTTGGCGGTCGTGGAAATGGATTTTGAAGTCCCCAGCCAATTCTGTTAGACCAGGCTCTCCGGGTAGGGCAAATACCATAACCCCTTTCTTTGGCGCACTGAACCAAAAGTCTTCAGGCTGCAAAAGCATGAAATTTCCACTAAACCATACAATGCGATTCACAAAGGCTTTAACAAAAAAAAAAACTTGATAGCAATAGAGTAATAACAGTGGCCTACCGATAGATCCTTGGTCCGAGCATGCTTTTTCGTGGTAAAGAGAACACCTGCACATAAGTTACAAGAATATATTAGCTCAGTATGGTACTAGCTTTATATGTAGTCATGAAACAATGAACGACCAACTCACCATTGTGATCAGAAATGGTGATGGATGGCCTGATCCAATAGGGACACCTATGGAGCCGGAATCCCCTAAGCATACACCTTAATAAAAGGAATTGTACAATGTCAATGCACAACTGTATGCTATATTAAGTTATATGAGTAACAGCTTACGATGAACTCAAAAAAAAAAGATACACAGCTTACACGCGGCCTGGTTGGTTTTCCCCGTTGAAGTATGTCAATATTCGCTCAAAGTATTTTACATATCTCTACAAAATAACGAGTAAACAGACTCACTAGTCAGCAGAAAAGGAAAGAACGTTTTTACAAGTGAGTTAATTATATAAATTGCAAAACTAGACTTACAATTTGGCTAGGTAACACAAGCCCCTTTCCATCCACACATCGTTTCTGATTGTAGAAGTCCATGCACTCTTCGGCAGTCGGAAAGAACTAAACAAGAAAAGAAAACATGATTGGTTCCCTGTGTTTGATTATGTTTTATATGATGTTGTGATAAATGTTTTACCTTAAGATACAGAAGAAGACTACAGATCATAAGCCCTGTTCTCGCCATTCCAGCCTTACAGTGAACAACCACAACATTCTCTATGTCCTCCTTCAACCACGAATATGCACTTTGGCAAAATGAGGTAATCAAATGGATTGGCGGGCAATTATGATCATCGAAAGGGAAACTGGCGACCTGGATGCAAAATAATACGTGCAAAAAAGATGGTTAGGGACATTAAACTGATAAAAGGAGGGAAAATACTTTTACAGTTGAGCCTGCCTAATGTGAACATAGCTATCAACCAGAACAGAAATCATGTAATCGAGAAGAAGTGGATAAACAATTTGCAACAGAAAACTGAGCCAGTTCATTGCAGCAGGTCTTTTACATGATAACGTCCAGCAGTCCAGGTAATGAATGAGCAAATTATCACAATCTTGTACATATGCAATTTTTATGGCTAACTGTCTCATAAGTGCCTAGGATTTGAAGTAACTGGAAATAGTGCAGTGGGTAATCTATGGATCAAGTTTCTTTAATTTGACCAAAGCCTTGTTACTCGAGGAAGTCACATGTTGGTCAAATGCAAGGAAAGGGGAAGAAAAAAGGATAGTGTATAACATACCTTCCCTTCAAATAATGATACATCATACAACCTCTCTGAACAAAGATTGTAAACCTTGTATTTTCCCTGCAAAAAGAAAGCAGTTATAATAGCACAAGAGTAGAGCAGAACCTAAGATAAAGGCTGTAGCTAACTGCAAAAACACATCATATCTAAATTTATTTCCAAAAGTTAGATGGCAAGATAGACCTGCTAACACATTTAAAAATATTTAGAGACACATTAGCTATTTTTGACATATGAACATCGAAATGCCGATTAATTAGCTAGTAGTACTTACCTTGTGTTGAGTTTCAAGAAAGTTAATAACTTCTTCCATTTGGTTACGGTAGAAACCCTGCATCGATGTTTTAAACATATATTAGCCAGATTAACTTGAAAACAAAATCTGGCACCAAAAACTAAAACTAAAGTAGAGCCAACTCCAGGGGCAACAATCACCTCAACATATCCAAAAAAGCCAGAACTCATATCACCAGCAGGAAAACCCATAGCAATTATGTTCTCTGTTATGTACGTCAGATCCAAATCAAACCCTCCTTCCTGAACCACAAGTCGAACAAAAGAAACATTTGATTTCAGATGAGGAACCAAGCTAACATGGAAGTGACCAGGTAGCAAAATAGATGACACAAAAGTTAATTAACTTAGTTGTCTCAGTTAAACTGCACCTGGTATCTTCTTTTGTTCTGGGATACAGCATGTCGAGCCTTAACCTGTACTGCCTTGACAGCATTCTTTGATGTATCTACCAAACCTTTCGTAATCGACCCAATGAAACCGGTTTGTGTAGCAGTTGAAGTTCCTTCTGTGGTCTCATCTGATTGAGGAGATTTGGGAGATAAACGAAGCCCTAACCCACTTGTAAATTTCGCAAAGGCAGACTTTTCAGTATTTTCGACATCAGCATCATTTCGTGTGGAAGCAAATGGCTGAGGAACTTTCAAGTTTTTGGCCCATGTCGATATCCCAGAGGCAGACAATTTTGATGCTACCCCTTTAGGTGAATCATCACTTCCAGCTTCTACAACAGCAGGAGGCTGAGCATCCGGTGTTCCCGCGACAGGTGGCTGAACATCCGGTGTTCCCGTAACAGGCAAATTTGGTGAATGAGATGACATGGTTTCTATCTCTCCTAGAATCTCTCAAAAGGAACACTAAAAGCTTGATCTATAATCCAAAATGTGAATTATCAAAGTTGCAAATTCCCTTTTCTGCAGACATCACATTCAACAAAATACATCAACTTAAGATTAATTCATAAATATAACCAACAAAGTCAGAATAATAGAGACTTCAAACATCAAAAATCAAGCTACAAATGTCTGATTTCGCATAAATGTTTCAAATCTTTCGACCTTTTTTTTTTTTTTTGTCAACCACTCAAATCTTTCGACCTAAATCATCATTTCCGTGTTCTGAATCAGAAAAAAAAATAAACCCGTCGTTATGCAGCACCCAATTTCAGCTTTTGGCAAGAACATGCACATTCGACGAGCAAATCAAAGTTATAAAACAACAATTATTGAGCGATCACGACATAAACCTCATAAAGAAGCAGAAAATTCAGGCTAAATTCAAGCAACCGATCGAATCCAAATAACCAACAAACAAAAAAAAATCAAACGTTTTGAAATCTCGAAACCAGATCAGAAAATTGGAATGATTGAACATCACAGAAAGAATCATGATCAAATCTAAAACATCAAAAAGCAAAGGAGCTAATCAAAACCTCATGGATCGAGAACCGAAATAGCTCCGTGGATGAAAATCGAATCGAACAAAGTACAAATTTGACGCGCTAGGGCTCGAGGATTTAGATATTCCAGAGATAGATTTGGGCAAACACACACAGTATTGGATGATCAAGTCACGTGCGAGTTGTGGTCAACAATTAATCATTACCGTTAGATCTAGAGACGTTTTGGATCTAAATCGAACCTTGCACGTGATCTCTCCAATGTATTTTAATTTTTTTTAACTTATCGATCGATGGATCATTATTTTTGGGATAAGTACATTTGTTTTTGTCAAATTTCCCATTGCACCTAAAAACTGTTACAAAGAGATAATACCTTTGCCTATTTATGGAAACAATATCAGATTACTAACGTTGACAAATTGTGAGACTTTCAATTTGCTTTGGATTATGGAGTGAATATAATATCTTAAACATTTTACAACAAAATCAAAAATCAAATCTTTTTTTTTTTGGG